GACTCTCCTGGGTTAGGGAAGGGAAGAGGGAGGAGGGTGAACTCATATCCAGTCCTAACACTTGTTTGTTCTCCAGCTCCTTCCCAGGCAGACAGCAGGGAGAAGGGGCTGGGCTGGGTGAGGTAATCCTGACCCTCTTCCCCTCCTCCATGTAAGGAAATGTCCTTGTAAACACCAGACCTCGATGGAGCTGACCCTCGCCCAGCCCTCCCGCCCTGTAACTGGAGCCAGCTTGGACCCCAAGGACTATTTCAGCAGGTCAAGGGTCCCCTGGCCCCCAGTCTTCTCAGTGTTTAAGTCACTGCAGGATGTCTGCAAGAATCACTAGCTTCTCTAGGTTAAAAATATCCCATGCCTGCGGGGCCCTCAGTCTCCATTTCTGAAGAGAGCTGGCTCACAGCTCTGTCCCTGGGAGCATTAAGTGAGGTCAATTGCTTCTTTACCCCCATGCAGCTTTGAAGCATGACACTCTGGGTTCAAATCCTCGCTCCACTACTCAATAGTTGCATGACCTTAGGCCTCTTACTCCTCTGCCCCTCAGTGTCCCTGGCTGTAAAAGGAGTGTCGGGATCACATCTAACTCAGAGGCCATGGGTCGCCACTCTGGCTCTTCACAAGAATCACCTGGGGAGCTTTTAAAAATTCTGGTGCCCAGGCTGCATTCCAGGTCCATTAAATAAGAACTTCTGAAGGTCAGTCTTGGACTATATACACACACACATATATTTATATCTTTTATATAAATATATATTTTTAAAGCGTCCTAGGTGATTCCATGTGCCACCAAGGAAGAGACTCAGTGCCACAGAGATTTCATGAGATGTATAGGGAAACTGCTTCCAATGGTACCTGACAGTTAAATGCTTTGGTGAGGATCATGGGACCAATTGTCCAAGCCTGGGAGGTGGTCAGGGAAGGCTTCCTGGAGGAGGGGATGCCTGAGCTGTGAACTGAAGGAGCAGAGGCAGAAAGAGGACAGGATGCATTTCAGCAAGGACAATGGCACCTGCAGGAGTCTGGAGCCAGGAGATGAACTGACAGTAGTAATTTCCTGTATCTGGAGTCGAGAAAGGAAAAAGAGAGAGCTGTGGAGAAAAGACATCACATTGGTCCTCAGATGAGGTCAGAGGTCATAGAAGATCACTGGGCTGTATTCTGGTGTCATGAAAGTTTTAAGTGGGGCAATGGGTGACCTAGTCGGGTACCTCCCCCAACACCACCATCAAATTCAGAAGTAGCAAAGCCTTTCAAGGCACTGTGTCCAAGCCAGGTGGGGAACTTGAACTTGCCAAGGGACTGTGAAATAACCCCCACCCTACCCTTTGATAAGCTGTATGTGGATTCTGGAGTCAGACAGTCTTGGGTTTGAATCCTGACTTTGCCACTTCATACCTGTGTGGCATTATGCAGGTGACTATATTTATGAGTCTCAGTTTCCTAGCTTGTAAAAAAGGCATAAATCCCCATTGGATCTTTGCAAGGATTAAATGAGATAATAATGTAAAAGATTGTTTTAATATAATAATTGTTAAAATTATTAATGATATTCACGACCTTGACTCTGCAACCCTTTGGTTGCTGGATAAATGCCCAAATCCATCCTTTGCTGTCCTAGCCTTAAAAGATTGTTTTAATATAATAATTGTTAAAATTATTAATGATATTCACAACCTTGACTCTGCAACCCTTTGGTTGCTGGATAAATGCCCAAATCCATCCTTTGCTGTCCCAGCCTTAAAGTGTCACTTGGGTTTTCCCATGGTCATTTATAGCTAAGCTTCTCAGCTCTTTTCCTGCATTTTGGTGGTGGTTGTTGAATCCACGTAACATGATTTATTATCCAGGTTTTACAATGAAGACAACTGAGGCCCAGTATGATGAAGCCACTGATCCTAAATCACCCAGTTAAGTATCAAACTTGCAGAACCTTATGCCCATTGTATTGGTGAGAAAACTGAGGCTCAGAAAGATGAGGTATTAAGCCTGAGGCTGCACAGTTGACAGGTGGCAGAGCTGAGATTTGAACCTTTGTCTGTCTTGGGACTTCTGGGCCCTAAGGGGTTACCCCCAGAGGGCTGGAGTGCCTGCTAGGACCCGCTTTCTGGGTCACCTGGCTCATCCTTGAGATAGGCAAGGGAAGCTGGGAACTTTGAGTTTTGCTGCCCCTGCTCTGGGGCCCTCAGCATACTTTCCTGAATGAGCAGCAACCCCGCCTTCTGGAGTGCCCTTCCCGAGGCCTCATTATTCTCCAAAAATCAGGTCAGAGTTAGCTCTTTTTCAGGAAACATTTTCCAGGCCTCACTTGAATCACTCTTAGGAAGTTGATTCATACTGATGTCTGCAGTATCATTTTTACAATGCAGTTGTATTTTATTTTGAAAATGTAATTCATTCTGGAAATAGGTGAAATTGCATATATGGTTCAAAATTCAAAAGATTCCAAAGGGTAATTAGTGAAATCTCCTTCCCACTTCTGCCCCCCAGCCACCTGTTCCCCCACCCCTTGGCAGGTGACTATAGAGTTTACCTGTTTTTCCAGAGATGTTCCAGCATGTATAAGCATCTCATAAACAAATACATTGTTTCCCGCTTTTCTCCACAAAGGTACCCATGTTACACACTGTTTGGTTTTATTTTATTTTTTTTTTTAGATCTTAGAACTGGTTCATATTGGTACATAATGAGCATCCCCCATCTCTCTGTGGCCACATAGTTTTCCTTTGTAGAACTGATTGTAATTTATTTAACCCATCTCCTATTTATGAATATTTGGGTTGTTTCCAGTTCTTTGCTCTTAAAACCAGCACTGCAGCTAAGAACCCTGTACTTGAGTCTTGTCATCCTAGAAAGCTCTGTGAATGGCCTGCGATAAAAGAGAGGGGATTGGGCTGGGTGCCAGAATACGGGGCTTCTCATCCTGACCTGCAACTACGGTAAATTCACAGCACCGTCCACTCATCTCTTTGCACCTTCACGTTCCCAGCCTTTCATTCTTTCAAACAATATTTACTGAACAGCCTCCATTCTAGACACTGGTGAACAAAGCAGTAAACAACATAGGCACAGTCCCTCATCTCTGAGTGCTGACTTTTTAGTGGGGGAGGGGGAGACAAACAATAAACAGGTAAACAAATACTGAACATAATGTCAGGAGGTGAAAGTAAAAGAAATCAGGGTAAGGGGATAGGCTTTGATGTAGGATGCAAAGAGCTTCAATAAAATGTTCACGAGCTGCACAGGTGATACGTGAACTGAGACCACAATGATGAACAGAATAGCTGTGCCAAGATCTGGGAAGAACTTTCCAGAAAGAGGCTCACAGCTGCAAAGTCTCCGAAGTCAGAACTAGTTTGCTGTGCTCGAGGGACACAGTGAAGGCCAGTGTGGCTGGAATATAATGACCAGGAGATACCAGAAGAAGAGAAGATCTGAGGTGTGGGCTTAGAGACCCTTGTGAAAAGTCTAGATATTATTCCAAGGGCAACGGAAACCACTGGGATGTTTAAGCAGGGGAATGAGGATGTGACTTAACGCCCATTTTTAAAACATTATCTGTGACCCTACCATTCTGCTCCTGGGTGAATGAAGGAGTTATTGCACAATTTTAACCTTCAATTTCTTCCATTAAACTGTGAACTTTCTGAGGAAAGGGACTATGGTTTGCACAACGCCTGCCAGTCATTCAGCAAATATATATTGAGCACCTACTGCCATACACATACTAAGTATGCACATGTGGTGAGCAGAAATGGACATGGTTCCTGCCCTCAAGTGCTTTTAGTCTGATAGGGAGACATTTATCAGATAATCCCTCCACTAAATGTAAATTGCAGCAGTGAGAAGTGCCCACAGAACAGATGTACATGAAAGGTGTTAGAAAAACATGCCGTAAAGTGGCTGCCTGGTTGGGGAGCAGTCTGGGCTCTTGATTTTTAATATAGGAGGATGTGGCAGCTACAGAGGTGAACTTCCTGGTTCTGTCCTCAAAAAAGAGTTCGTCATCCAGCTCAAGGAATGACAGCTTCCAGACACAAGGCCACGCTCTTCCTGGGCATCTCCAGCCGATGGCTGCACGTGGTGGGGAACTGGGGCCTAGACACTTCTGCCCAATAGGGACTCCTCTCATACTTTTTGTTCTGGGACCCCCATTGGGTTGGCCTGTCTTTGTCAGATCTGAGTCTCTCCGTATCCAGTCCTGCCTCTTCCCCTTTCTCGTCCGCAGGCCTAACCGCAACTCCACCTCAACATCTTCTTCCTGCAGGACCTGGCCTGCCACAGAGGGTCTTGGTGGCTGGATTACTTTGGGAAGGGGAGCTTGCATCTGCGCTTACAGAGCATTTTTATATAAAATTGACAAGCTACCAAGGCGCATTCCAAAATGTGGGGAAGGGCTAGGAGTAATAATGTCCTCTATGAGAGTTACTTTAGATAATAGCTATATAGTATCTGTCACTTAATAAATGACAGCTATTATTATTACTGGATTTCTGAGTCTGTGGGAGCAGAGCCCTCCAGAGTCTGGGGTGGCAGACAGGCGCTCCAGGACACTGTGCCGGGCACTGGGTATAACCTCTCTGTAGTTTTTCTTCCGATGTCTAAGGCAGGGTCCCTTCTGCTCCATGCAGAGTTTTGGAACTCTCACTCTGGGGAGGGTGGACATGTGGAAGATTAAGGGATTGAATCTGGCCCCGAAGGCTGGGCTGTGAGTTACACTGCCATGGGCCCTGAGGGCGACCCCAGGGAAGGTCCTCCAAAGGTTCCTTCCTGGCCTGGTATTAATTTAGGGTTCCGGGAGGTGATCTACGAGGACGCAGCCAGACAAATCTGACTCTCTGATGGACAGACATATGATGAGCAAGTGACTGGTGGGTGGACAAACACAGGCCAGACTGAGATATCAAGACAGGCTGATGGATCTGTCATCCAGATGAGGCCTGGAATGTGACTTTCAGATGACAGGAAGACTGACCAGAGGGCCTTAAGGCTTGGGAAGCACTTACCTGCCGGCTGGGCCGCAAGGGGGCGCTGCCGCCCCGCCCAGCTGCACGCACGGTTTGGGCTGGGCTCTCGGGCACGGAGGGGACAGGGCTAGCCGGCGCAGGGGGCGGGGCCAGCATGCTTGCGGGGCCACCGCAGGCGGGGCCTGCGAGGTGCGCGTGCTCGTGGGGACAGCCGGGGGCGGGGCGCGCGGCGGGCGCGGGCGCGCGCGGCGGCAGCGCGTTCCGTTCCGGGCCGAAGCTCGCGGCTGAAAAGTTGCAGGGCGGAGAGGAGCGTCCCGGGGACGGGCAGCGAGCGCGACGTCGAGTCGGTTGCCGGCTCCCGCAGCCCCACCATGGACGACCTCGGTGAGTGAGCGGGAGGCCGAGGTTGGGAGGCAGCGAAGGGCGCGCGGCCCCGGGCTGGGCGGGCGCGAGCGACCGGCGGGGGCCGCCGGATCTCACCGTCGGCGGCTCGGGACCCCGTTCCGGTCCCGGCCGGCCGGGGCTCCGGGGGGCCGGGATCCCGGACCGGGCCTAAGTCCCGGACCAGGCAGGCCTCGCCGCCGTCCTCACAGCCGCCACCCCCATCTTCGGGGACGGCCCCACCTCTGGACCCCGGACCTCGGGGACCCACCCCCATCTCCCAGACCAGCCTCAGGGATCAGCTTGCACCTCAGAAACCTGCCCTGTCTGCTTCAGGGGCAGGACCCTCACCGCCTGGACCAGACCACCTCCCCAGCTATGGGACCCTCACTTCACAGAGCGCTCCCCACCCCCACCCCACCCCCACTCCCACCTCACAGATAGATTGCCCAACTCGGGAACAGCTGCCTAGTTTTACAGGCTGGTCCTTCAATTCCAGGGCGCGCTCCCACCCCCTCCAGGACCACTCCCACTTCAGGGATTGCCTCTCCGAGCCCACCCCTTTCAGGGCGCTAGTCAGACTCACAAGTTAGAGGGGAGCCTCGCCCCTACAAAGACACGTTTCCCATGTGCCTCACTAACCCCCCACATCAGTTCTTGTCTCCCTGTCTCCTGGACTGGTCACTCCATTTCACTGACTGCCCTCTCCTCTCTGTGGGCCAGCCTAATCTGGGGAGACAGGATTCTCACCCCACTCCCAGGCGCTCCGGAAACGAAATGCCAGGGGAATGAGGAGGGAAGTGGGCCTCAAGGTATGGCCGTCTTTGAACTTGTCCTGGCTGGCAGAGTCCCTTCACTCCACCTAGTATCAGACCTTGCTGGAAGCCACACAGGAAAGGAGGACAGGATGCCCGGAACAGAGTTTTACTGTTTTCGTGTTATTGGAGCTCCAAAAGTACTCTTTTCACTCCAGTCTTGATTTGCTGTTTAGGGCAGAGGAAAGCATCTCCTGGAACCAGACACTAGAGCCAAGGGGGTTGGTGCCAGGGTTCTAGGAATGCCTTGAGTGGCGTGAACCCTGGAGTGGGAGGATCCACTTTCCTTCCCCTTCCTGACCGTAGCTGGAGGGCCTCTGAGCTGAGGAGGTGAGGAGGGGGAGAAGTTTCTTCTCTGTAGGGGCCTTGTCTTCCCTCACTGCACTGTGGGTGCCTTGTGTGACCATTGATGCTTTCTCTGCTGCAGGCTCTGAGGAGTGGATTCATCCACTCCTCGCCTCATGGGCCTGCCCCAGGTGCAGAGGGCACTAAGTTAAGACTGGCTATTTGTAGGCACTGGGCTTCCAGGGGGCAGGGGGGAGGACTGGGACTTCCCTGCTCCCTGGCAGCTTCTTTTGGGATCAGGCCCCCCCACCCCCATCCTGAGCCGGGGACGGTGTACGCTGGATCCTGCCTGTTTTGCGGAGCGCAACGGCTGCCAAGCATAGTTCTGCCTTTGGGTCAGGCTTGGCACCCACCTTTCCAACACACTCAAGGTTGGCACAGCTTCCAGGCAGGTATTTTTTTTTCACATAAAAATAAGTAAGCTTAAAGGAGGCTGGGGGATATTTTTAAAATCAGGACCTGAAAGTCTCAAAGTTTCTGTGCAGTTCCTGTGCTATTTGAAGGACCGAGAAAGCCTCTGTAGAGTTTGCAGCCTGAATTCCTGTCTTCTGACAGCCTTCCATGTAGGGCCAGGAAGCTGAGTTAGTCTCTGAAAGGAAAGAGAGTGTGCTGGCAAGGTGCACGGTAGGACTTTAAATGTGCTGTTTATGGAGTTCTTCCCATAGTTCACCTTGTCCCATCCTCTCAGCAACCCTTTATAAGAGCCCCTTAAAGCCACTGCTGTCATTGCTACCCGCCTTTTACAAACTGAGAAAACAGAGACTAAGAGAGGTTGACTTCACTTGCCCAAGGCTGCACAGCCACAAGATGGCAAAACCAGGACTAGAAGCCCAGTTTCTAGCTCCTGGATCTGCAGCAATTGTCCACCCAGAGGCCCTTCTTCCCTAGGAGGGGTGAGCTGCATGGGAAGGAAGGGTTGCAACGGGGCGAGGGTTGCCACCTGTAACTTCTGCTGCCTCCCACCACAGCCGCCCCAGCTGTTTGGATCCCGGCTGCCCGGCTTCCTTGGCCTAAACTCCCAGGGGGCCGGCCACGCCTGGCTGACCAGAGCCTGGGGTGGGAGGAATGGGGCGTGCAGGAGGGGAGAGGAATTTGCCTCTGCGCTCAGGCCCCATCAGCTGTCTGGCTGACTGCTCAGCACCCTTCCCGTCAGCTGTTTTCCTTAGTTAGGGCAGACACAAAGGCCAGGCCTCTTGTTTTTATTTTTGCCCTGAGAGTGCCCTCAGCCATGAGCCTACTGGTCCCTGAAATAGGGAAGCACTTACGGTCGTCCTGTGGTGAGGCTAGAGGGGGCAAGACTCTGTGCTGTGAGGTGGTTTTTTGGAAACAAAAAAAATTTGGGGAACTCACCCACTCACCTCTCCCTGTAGCTGCTAGTGACAGGCTCACCATGTGCTATTTAATAAGTTACAAATTTATAGCTCTTTGGGCAGAAAAACATAAACACAGCCTTTCACTGTGCGTTCTCTCTGCTTTGTGCTGTGGGGTGGCTCTTCTCATTACTGTTTGGACACTGGTTTGGCCAAGTGTTCGCCCTGTTCTCTGGCCGGAGTTTCCTGGACAGAGTTCCCACAGCGCTGAGGTGCACTCTGATTACACTTTATGACCTGGCTCCTTGCTCTCCCCTTCCTCCTGTTCCTACTGTGCTTGGGGGGGCCGGTGACCACAGTTGTGATCCACTGATGATCGCTCCTGCTTGATGGGAGGAGACAGGCGCTGGACCAGGCACGTTGTGAGTTTCATCGCAGCCATTGGGAGAGGGAGGTGTTTTATCTCCGCGTTACAGATGTGGAAACCTGAGCTCTGGGAGCTTCACTGGGGGAGCTGGGATTGGAACCCAGACTGATCCAGTTCAGGTCCTGGTAATTATAATCATAGTAAGGTAACGAGTGACCATTGACTAACCAGGGGGATGAGCCATGGGGCCTACTGAGTGACTGCTTGTTACCTTTAAAAGTTCTGCCCTGGGGGCCATCCCCAGAATACAGCCTCTGTGGTGGCGGCGGGTGTCCTTATGGAAGAGGCCAGCTCAGGCCTTGATAGATTTGCCTCCCTCCTCTCCCAGGGGGAACAGCCAGCTGTTGGCAATGCCCAGTTGCTGCTGGAATCTAGTCATGTCTTCCTTCAGCTTCTCAGCAGTCCTGACCCTCTAGAAAACAGTGCCTCATTGTCCTTGGAGGGGTACTGTGGCTGGGGGTGGGGTGGGGAGCAGGGGAGTTGCCTGGGGCATTTGGGGCGATGGAGCCTCCCTGTCTCCATGGAAATTCTGGACTTTGGGCTTGCCTGTCTGTGGTGCCTCTGTATGCTGGGCCCGGGTCAGGGCACCCAGCTGCTGGGCCTGGGGCAGAGGCCCTCCTGGAGCCGTGTGCGCTCCCAGAGGGCTCCACGTCAGTGCCAGAGCTGCTGCTGGGCTCTGCCCTAGTGAGGGGCAGGGCGGGATTCAAACCCTGGAGTGTCTGATCCTTAGAAGGTGCCCTTTCCGCTGCGCTAGGCTGTCTGTTGCCTGGGCAGCCACGGCTTAGCGTGGAAAGGTTTGGGCTTCTGGGGGCCATAAACCACTGTGGGTTTGAGTTCTTCCGAGGGAAATCTCTGTCTTCCTTTCTTCCAGCTTCTCCAGTGATGTCCATGCATTGGTGAGACTGGGTAGGCCCTTAGCTGGAGGGGCTCGTGGGAGGGCAGAGTTACCACTGATGTGCTGAGCAGCGCTCCTCCTCATTAAAAAAAAAAAAATAGATTCTAGAGAAAGGGGAAGGGACAGAGAAAGAGAGGGAGAGAAAAATCCATCAGTTGCCTCCTGCACGCCCCACAGCCAGGCACCGAACCTGCAGCCCAGGCATATGCCCTGACCAGGAGTAGAACCAGAAAGCTTTTGGTTGGTCCGTCCAGGGGAGCCACACCAGCCGGGGCCCTCTTCCTCCATGTAGTCATCATGCATGGAGTGTGTTGACCTGACCCTCCGAAGCTTCCCTCGGGCCCGTTCCTTGTTTCAAGATCAGAGACGATGCTGAAAATACTTCCTCCTGGCTTCGCTCTCATTTCAGCCCTCCCCTCGGTTGTCCTGGTCTCACTGCCTCCACTAATAACAACACACCTCTGTAGAGCACTTTCCTTTTTTACAGTTTACAGAACTCTTTTCCGTAATATTCACTGAGCATTTACTGTGTGCAGGCACTGCGCTGGTTGCCTTACATACATGGTTTCATTGAGTCGTGTAGGCCACAAGAGGCACAGGCTCTGTTACTATTACTAGTACGCGTTTTATAGATGACGAAATAGGCTCAGAGAGGGAGAGCCCACTGGTGAGTGGCAAGGCTGGGATCGGATTTTAATGCAGACTCCAGCTTGTAACCAGCCATTCTTCACATTTCAGTTCGTGATACTGGATCTACTCTTGGGTGCCTGTTGGTTTAATTGCTTTCCATTCTCTGTTCAGTCTCCACATCTGTCCTTTTCCTCTATTCTGTGGCTGCTTCTTTCTCCTCCTTTGTTCTTTCTTGGGGACTCAGGATGGGACGCGGGGCACTGAAGCAGTATCTCTTGCGGGGCGGAGGGCCTCACTTCTCTACCTGTCACCAGTCCAGTCTCCTGCTCCCCTCAAGATGGAACTGCGAGCCTACTGCGCAGATGTGCAGGAGAACCTGCGGTGGCCCTCCGCCGTCTCTCTTCTAACCCCTTCTGGGTGGAATGGGAAGCCTCCCCCTCGTACCCCGCCTCCCCACCCCATACAAACACCCTCCTGTCCTTGTTCAGGTGTTCGTACAGGGCTGCCAGGGGGAAGTTGTTGACAGCCTTTCAGGTAGTGAATAGCAGATGGCCTGTGGGAGAAGACGGAGAGAAAGAACT